CCTCCAGCTCAAGAGTGAGGCAGAGCCTGGTACAAATCCTGACTCTTATCCCTTACAGTTAGTGAGACTTCGCAGTCTCAGTTCCTAACCTGTAGAATTGGGGTAACAGCTATGCTGCCTCACAGGAGCATCGGTAAAGCACGTGTCAGAAGTACTTAATCACTGCCGATCCTCCTTCCACAAGTGGGCTCAAGAGACCCCCCGGGCTTCTTCTCAGAGCTTCCCATTTATGTGTCTTGTCATCTCTGTCCTCAACCCTGCATCTCAAAGGAGGGTTTCTGTCCCCCACTTCCCAGGCCAACCCCTCTCTGTTAGAATTCCTCATGACCGTGACCAGCCAGCTTCCCGGAGCATCACTGAGCAGGCTCTCTTGTACCTGGGGAGGCAGGCCAGAGGAGCCCCCAGGGGCCCTGAGTTACTATGGAGGTTGAACAGCAGAAACTGGGCAAAGGCAGACAACAAAGAAATCGTGATTCCATGTTTGGGACTCTTTCCAGGAATGAAACACCAGGAGGAATGAGTAATGTTGTGTAATTTTATATATTTTATATTATATTTTATATATTAAGTAGTTTTCCTTATCCACAGTTTCACTCTTTTACAGTTCAGTTACCTAAGGTCAGCCACAGTTGGAAAATAGGTGGGTACAGTACTATAACATATTTTGAGAGAGAGAAAGAGAGCATTCACATAACTTTATATTATTACAATTTTCTATTTTGTTTTATTGTTGTTAAACTCTTTTGTTTTGGTTTGGTTTTGTTTTTGTTTTGAGACAGAGTTTCACTTTTGTCACCCAGGCTGGAGAGCAATGGTGTGATCTCGGCTCACTGAAACCTCCACCTTCTAGGTTCAAGCTATTCTCCTTCTGCAGTCTCCCTAGTAGCTGAGATTACAGGTGCCCACCATCACACCCGGCAAATTTTTTTATTTTTAGTAGAGACAAGGTTTCACCATGTTGGCCAGGCTGGTCTCAAACTCCTGATCTCAGGTGATCTTCTTGCCTCAGCCTCCTGAAGTGCTGGGATTACAGGTGTGAGCCACTGTGCCTGGCCTAAACTCTTAACTGTGCCTAATTCATAAATTAAATTTCATCATATGTAGGTATGTATGTATATATATAGGAGAAAAGATAGTATACACAGGGTTTGGTACTATCTAAGTTTCCTGGCATCCACTGGGGCATCTTGGAATGTATCCCCTGAGGTTAAGAGGGGACTTCTGTATATGATAGCTTGTATTTATGTTCTCATTGTTTTCAAAGAGGTACATCAATATCATTGAATTGCATTCACTCAATAGACATATCAGGTAAATGAAAACAAGGAAGAATTCTCTGTGTGAGAATTCTTGGGTATGCTGGCCCCAAGCCCCATGGCTAGTGGCGAGACTGGAACTGGCCATGAACTTGGGGTCTCAGCTCCAAACCACTCTCCAGAACTTGTTACTTCTTGGGAATCTTTTGGCTATAAATATGTGAGAGACCAGTGTGAGGATACGCTGGGACCCTCCCTCTGGGGGTCTTGAAGAGTGGGGACTGCCCCCTTCTTTTGTTGTAAGAAAGAGAGATCTGCTCCCGAGATTGAGGCATGGACCAAATAACCTTTAGAGAAGGACAAGAATTGAAAGGAAAATAAATAGGGAAACTAAGAGGAGCTAATATTCATTGATGTTTCCAAAGGGGGAACATTTGGATCTTTTTCTTACTAAAAGCCAGAAGGAAAAGTTAAAAAAAAAAAAAAAAAAAGATACAGTGGAATTATGTTCTCACTGGGAGTGGGGAGGGCTCAATTTGTGGGACATTCTTCTGCCTCGCTGGGGGTGACGCCCTTGTGGAGTGACTTCCAGTCTAAGGAGATGGAGGGAGCGATAAGGGTGAGGTGGGGGTTGTAGATGCCTTGATAAGCGAGGCAGGCCAGGAAAGGAGCACCTGCCAAGGAAACTACAACCCATAAAACTGGTCCTGGGGCAGGGGGGTTGGGACATGGGGGGCCAGCAGGGGAGGAGGCTGGCCCAGTCTGAGCTGCACAGAGCAGGTGTGCAGGGACTTGCTGCCAAGGGCATTGTCCAGGGGTCTGGGGAAGAGAAAGGGGAGGTCCAGTGCTCAGGTCTCCCCTTCCCACCGCCATCCCTGGGCCTTCTCCCTCTCACTTGCCCTTCTCTGCCTACCTTGTCCTCCCCAGTGGGAAGGGCATGGACAAGTAGCCTGGGTGAGGACCACGGTGTCCCCCGCAGTCCCAGCTGGTAGACCAGAGATTTGGAATCTCTCCTGTTCTCTCCTGGCCTTCTCTGCCTACTGTTTCTTCCTCTTGTGATAGTCAATATTACCATTCTATTTTTCCTTTTCTCTCCTTTCTTTTCATGCCTTTCTCAGCTTTCTGCAAGTGAGGACGCCTGCAAACTCTCTCCTTCAGAGAACAGCTTCCCTGCTGCTGATGCACGGTCAGTAATGCCTCCAGGCACCCAGGAGAACTGGGTTGGGGGCACCAAACTACACTGTCAGGTCCCAGAACCCTTCACACCAAAGCAGCCTGACCTCTTATTCTAACATAGTAAGGAGGAGGAGGAAACATAATTCCTAGATTTCCATTTTTAAGAATTACACTCCCACCCCACGTGGCCACAGCCATCTAGGAAAAGGATTCAGGGCCAGGTGTGGTGGCTCATGCCTGTCATCTCAGCACTTTGGGAGGCCGAGGTGGGCACATCACGAGGTCAGGAGTTCGAGACCAGCCTGGCCAACATGGTGAAACGCTGTCTCTACTAAATTAAAAAAAAAAAAAAAAAAAATTAGCTGGGCAAGGTGGCAGCCATCTGTAATCCCAGCTACTCAGAAGGCTGAGGCAGGAGAATCACTTGAATCCAAGAGGTGGAGGTTGCAGTGAGCCAAAATCACACCATTGCACTCCAGCCTGGGCGACAGTATGAGAGACTCCGTCTTAAAAAAAAAAAAAAAAAAAAGGAAATAAAAGAAAAGGATTCAAATAATATACCTTAAAACTAATTGTGGTCAGGTGCAGTGGCTCACACCTGTAATCCCAGCACTTTGGGAGGTCAAGGCGGGCAGATCACCTGAGGTCAGGAGTTCGAGATCAGCCTGACCAACAGAAAGAAACCCTATCTCTACTAAAAATACAAAATGAGCTGGGTGTGGTGGCACATGCCTGTAATCCCAGCTACTTGGGAGGCTGAGACAGGAGAATCACTTGAACCCAGGAGGCGGAGGTTGCGGGTGAGCCGAGATCGTGCCATTGCACTCCAGTCTGGGCAACAAGAGCGAGACTCCATCTCAAAAAAAACAAAGTGATTATCACTGGATGGTGGAATCATTAGCCTTTTGGGGGTTTTGTATTTTTCTGTATTTTATACTTTTGTAATAAGAAAAAGTATTTAAGGGATTCCCTGTTTTCTGCAAGAATTTATCTCTTTCAACACTGGGTGGGGGGGTGGTGTCAGGTGGGTGGTGGTGGTAAGGAAATGGAAGTAATGGAAACAACTCAGTTATTTCCACTCAAGCCTGCCCGGGAGGCAATTCTCACCCCAGCCACCCCACCCATTCATTCCCACAGAGCGGGAGATGGCTTCTCTTTTTGCCAGGAAACCAAGAGGCTCCTCCCCCAAAAATAGCCAGGAGGGAGGAGATTAGTGGTGGTTTTTTCCATTCAAGCATCATTCTTTGGATCTCAGGTCAATGGGTTCAAGGTAGGGGTGAGCAGGGTCACCTGCCTACTTGAATCTTTCCTTACTCACCTTCAAGTGACCTCCTGTACCACTCCCCAGTCCCTCGTCATCTGGCTTGGACCATCAGGAAGTGTAAGAGATGGTGCTGCCGTATGCGAGAGAGCATCCATGTGGGCATGTCTGCTAACACAAGTAACCTCTGTGGGAAAGCATCTCCTTGTATGTTTCTCTGTCTGCAGTTCGCTCTTGCGGAAAGGGTACCTGTCTCCGCAGTGTCCTTGGACCTGCCTGTGGTGTTTCATTCAGGTCTGGTATGCATGGATGAGCAGGAGCAGTGTGAACTGGTTATGAGAGTTCAGGAGTGACTAAAGTCTCCTCTTGCCTGTCTTAGCAGCCATCCTGCATCTCATGGCCCGCGTCTCTGTTGCTAGTTTTTGAAAAAAGGTCTTCATTCTGTCTCCCTAACTCACAACCCTCCAACCATCTCTGCCCAAGAAGCAGTTGGGGGTGATTACCCACAGCCGGTTGCTGCCAACACATCTGTGCTCGCCAGGCTCATGGGCAGGAGGCACATCCAGGTACTGAGGCACGATTCTTCCAGATCTGTTATTTGGGATCCTAGACTCCCTGCCACACTGCGGCTTCTCTGCAGACTCTAACTCCTTCCGCCAGCAATAAGGTTGGAGATGAGTCTCTAACAACCTTTTCTTTCTGTCTAAGAGTACAGAAAGGTGTAAAATGAAAGAAGAGGCTGTTTCAGCCTGGTGGTACAAGAGGGCAAAGGCTAGAAAAGGGGGAAAACCAGGGGAGGGTGAAGAGAGGGTGTGAATGAGTCCTACTGGCTGCAAGGCACCCTGCTCTGTCTCTCTCTCTCTCTCTCTGATCACTCTCTCTTCATCTGTCTCTCTGTCTCTACGTCTCTATCTCTCTCTGTTTCTACCCCTCAGTTTCTGCCTGTCTCTGTCTCTTTCTCTTTTTCTATGTCTCTGTCTGTCTCTGCCTGTCTTATGCCTGTCTCTGTTTCCCTGTCTCTGTCTTTTATACACACACAGAGCATGTGCCCTTGCCCATCCTCGCCCTGTGCTCCTCCCATCTTTATTTTCTGGCAGACCCATGCTTCATGTAGAGCAGCATGTTCATGCCCATGACTTGAGAATCCTGGCTGGCACGTCTGTTCTGGGCCTCATCCTATGCAAACCACTCTTGTTACAGAAAGGCCACATGGAATAGTGGGAAGATATCATATTTAAAAGTAAAAGTTAATCAAGAATCCTTTTCTGCCCCTTAATATTTGGGTGATTTTGAGTGAGAGAGTCATTTTTTCTTTGAGCCTCAGTTTCCTCATGCATATAATGGATATGAGAACACTATGATTTTGCAGTCCTGGTTGCTACGTGGATCTAATAGTGTAATGGATATGAATGTACCTTGCAAACTCTTAAGTCATTTCTGTTACTAAATACAGGATGACCCACTGTGTTCATCTTGGAAGCCTCTGCCATGCCTTTGGCTGTGCTCTATTCTCGTGCCTGGCCATGGAATGCTCTAGTGAGCCGGAATGAAGGTCAGGCCCATGGCTGTGATGTCACAGAACATGTGAAGTCAGAGGTCCTATGGAAGGGAAGGGGAGAAAATGCCTCTGGAAAGGGGTAAGGGCCAGGACAGGAATGGGGCAGGAGGTGCAGGGATCCTGCTGGTCACTGGGAGCAGGGGGAGGCTGAAGGCAGTGAGTGGGCAGGTTCATGCCTCCCCTGGCCTCCCAGCTCTGCAGGGCAGCGTTCCTGGTTCCCATCTTGCTGCTGCTGCAGGTGAAGCCTCTGAAGGGGAGCCCAGGCCCCAAAGATGGGAGCCAGACAGAGAAAACGCCCTCTGCAGGTAGGTGGAAAAAAAGATGGGAGCAGGACAGAGAAAACGCCCTCTGCAGGTAGGTAGAAAAGAAGACAGGAGCCAGACAGAGAAAACACCCTCTTCAGGCAGGTAGAAAAAAAGATAGGAGAGTCTGGAGGCTCAGGGTCAGGTCTGTGTGAAGCCGGGCCCCAGGTCACTGATGAGGCTAGGGTGAGACCTGACATAGGTCTGGTTTATTGGGGGTAACTCCAGCCACTGATGGTTATCGTGTGAAATAATAGTGTCAAGGAACACCACGGGCCAGCTGAGCTTGCATGCAACTTCTGTGTGTGTGAGCATGATGCATTTGGCTGGCTTCAAGGTGGCCCCTGGCTCCCCTAGTGCTGAAACCCTAGAGGAGGCAGCTAGCCTTAGCAATGGGGTGTGTGTGTGTGTGTGTGTGTGTGTGTGTGTTTGAGTTGTGGCTGTGGTTGAACACAGAGCAGAAAAAACCTCCAGAAAGAGCATCCCCTCTCTGGTCAAGGCCAAGGATATGGGCAATTGGGACTGCAGCCCTAGGCTTCAACGTGTTTTTCCTATTCTAACTTCTCCTTTCTGGTTCAGGCCAGGGTCAGGGCTCAGTCCTCATCCTTTTCCCCTGTTCCAGACCAGAATCAAGAACAGTTCGAAGAGCACTTTGTGGCCTCCTCAGTGGGTGAGATGTGGCAGGTGGTGGACATGGCCCAGCAAGAAGACGACAAGTCGTCCAAGACATCAGCTGTTCACAAGCCCTCTTTCCACCTCGGCTTCTTCTGCTTTAGTCTGGCCAGTGTCATGGTTTTCTTAGGAGGGCCATTGAGGCTGACATTCCTAAATATCCATCTCTGCTTCATGCTCACTCACTGACCCTCCCTCCCTCACGGGCTCCAGGTCACAACTCCCAAAGGAGATGCAGGCGTGGCTCTCTGCCTCTGATCACCATCACTGTGCCTCAGAGTTCAGCATCAGAGTTACCAATTGCCATCAGTGCTGACTGACTGCCTCTCCGGGTTCGGAGTTTCATCTCCCAGGGCCAGAGACAGCACACTCACATCCTTCTCTCCCACACCTCTCCTGGTTTTGTTCAGGACAGCAGATTAGAGGCAGGAGGCAATGACAATAAAATAACAATAAAATTCTGAGAACAATTGGGAGCAGCTTTCTGATACTTAATCCAAGCCCTTCTCGTCTTTAGCTAGATGCTTTATTGTCCAATCTTTGGTCCACTGGGTGGTCTTCAAACCCACCAGGTCACCAATTGTTGATTTTTTCCTTTTCTTGTGTCCACAAAATATTTTTGGCATTTCTTCCTCTTATCTTTTCTGACTTCAGGGTATTTTTCTGCCCTATAGTTAATGACTTCTAGGCATAGAACATAGCAGGAACAAGTCATTAAGAGACAAGCAGAAGCCAAGTGCCGGCTTTTATTTTTGGAACAGAAGTGGAAAGGAAATCTTGCTCTGATTCCGTGGATGTGACCAGGGAGGTGTTGGTCGATATTTCTGTGCTGTGGCATCTTCAGTAACCAAGTTACCAGAGCTGGCAGTGGCTGGAGGGGTTCAAGAGGGTACCACGTGCACAGCGGAAATATCTGGCAAAGGCTGGGGTGCTGCTGAGGGGCCCATGGACTCGGAGGTGTGGAGGGCTGTGAGTGTCGTAAGATTCCTGGGGGCTGGGCTCCCTACACATCACCTGAGCAGGAAGAGAGGTCATTGAAGGAGGAGGGTCCACAAGACAAGGTTGACCTAGTGACAAGGGGTGATCAGGGACAGCAGACAAAGAGGGGAACAGGGGATCAAGTGCTCCAAGGGCCACATGGAGCATTTGAAATGTATAGTTCATTTAATCTGGTGATAGTAGTCCAGGAGGAAGGCCTGGGCTGTATAATGATACCATTTATCAGTGACCGAGGGGCGGGGTCTAGCACAGGAGCTCTGGGGTGAAGTCTAATCTAAGTGTGTTGAAGACCTGGCACCTGAGTCTGTTGAGGGAACACAGGGTGCTCAAGGAGATGATGTCAAGTGGTCGCCATACCTAAGGTCAGGCGTCTGAAGAGGAATGTGGCATACAGTCAGCCTTTTGCAGGCTTTTTTTTTTTTTTTTTTTTGGAGACTGAGTCTTGCTCTATCACCCAGCCTGGAGTGCAGTGGCAGGATCTTGGCTCACTGCAACCTCCGCCTCCCAGGTTCAAGCGATTCTCGTACTTCAGTCTCCCGAGTAGCTGGGATTACAGGCGCCCGCCACCACGCCCAGCTAAGTTTTGTATTTTTTGTAGAGACGGGGTTTCAGCATGTTGGCCAGGCTGGTCTTGAAATGCTGATCTCAAGTGATCCACCCGCCTCGGCCTCCCAAAGTGCCAGGATTACAGGCATGAGCCACTGCGCCCAGCCACAGGCTTATTTTTAAGGCATCTGTATTTTGGGGGTATGAGAGGAGAAAAAAGTTGGTCTCCTCTCCTGAAGGAACCTGGGAATAGAGTTTTTTCTACCTTTGGAGTTGTAGGGGTGCTGAATTAGGTAGAAGAAACTGTAGTCATCTGAGGCGTGATTCCAAGGGGTAGGGAAGGATGAGAAAAGATGACAGTGAGGACATCTGCAGCAGAGGGTTTAGGGTATTTGGTGGAGTGTCCAAGGAGGGGAGTTCCATGAGCTTCAGTAATAAGGCGTTCAAACTGACATAAAGCAAGCTGTGGCAGGAGGTGGCTGTACCTACCTCGGCATAGCTTCGAAAGAAGATCTGCTGGGGGCTGAGGTCCAGGCGGGGCAGGACGGTCTCCCCACGGTGCCATAACAGCCTCTTGCTGTATGCCTGGGTAGGGGTGGGTGGAGAAGGGCCCTCAGGCTCTAGACCTGTGGCCATTTGAAAGTCCCTCCACACAGTACCCAAAACCCATGGCCCTTGCTCACTGGCTCTGCACTGACAAGTTGATCTGAGCCAGAAGAAAGAGTAATTCCCAGAAGACCTATAGATGTCCTAAAAACAGAAGATCTCTGGGGTAGGAGGGGGATCCCCAGGTTGCCGTCTGTTCAGGGGGGATGTGAAGGGCAGAAAGCCATATAACTGTACCTGCATCAGGAAGGGTGGCAGGAAAACTTGAGCACATGTTTTCTAGTCTGCCAGTGCACATAAATTGTGGCCCTTGACACTTGCATACCTGCAGCGCAATGGCTAGCCCCCCCACGTCTGCAGCGTTCTCCAAGAATGTGAGGGAGTCATTGAAGGAGATTCCTCTGGGTAATGGAAAGGCAGCATAATGGCGTTTCAGGCACAGGAGAGCTTCCTGGAGGGCATGGGTGTCACAGGCTGGGCACCCCCCAGGCAGCACTATTGAAAACAGGGCAAGAGAACATAGGGTTGGTGCTGCCGAGGTGAAGATGTGGGTGGTACCACAAACTGACCCAGCTCCCAGGAGCGTGGCAAAGTTCCCAGGACTGCCCCACCTCAAACCTTAAATAACCTCCCTTTCCCCTCCAGGCCCCCCTGTGGCCTTCCCTTAGGTTCCCTATAATCCCATCTCCCAGTGGCCCCTGTTACCCACAGAGCTGGTAGAAGATGTGCAACAGCTCGTGGGCCATGATGCTGCCAGCAGCGCCAAAGTTCACAGCTCTAGGGAGACAAGGGCTTGTTTGACCCCCAGAATCTTTTGGCATTTTTGACTCCAATTCTCCAGCTGTAAGTCCCATTCATTATAACACCTGTCGGCCCCTCTTGGGAAACTCCCTACCTACCCTCACAGAGTGACCCATACCTGGGGTAGCCAGGGTGGAAGAACGGGGGTTGGAGGAGTCCAGCTGGAAAGACTACCACATGGTCAGATATTGAATAGTAAGCATTGACCTCCCAAGGGGACACCTTCCACCTGTGGGAAGAGCACACGTGAACTCCAGCCCCCACCACATATTGCCCTGCCACCCTGAGACCTACGCAGTCCCTCCCAACTGCCGTTACTATTCATGCTGCCTGCCCTGAGCCCTGGCTTCCTTTCCTACGAATCGTGGATGGATCTCTCCAGGATGGAGTGCCTGTGTCTCCCCTGCACTCATACCTGTGTTGGGGGAAAGGCTGCAAGAAGCTCTGGACAATTCTAGCTTGGAGGGACCGGACACAGCTCAGGACAGACTGCAGGAAGTTTGGTCCAAGTTGTATCTGGGGAAGAGGCAGGAGGTGACTTGGGCACACAGACACTTCTACAGATGCATGCTGACATACACCAGTGGGACCATTTGACCCAAAACAGGCAAGCCCTGACACACAGGCATCCAGGGATTAGGAGACAGCAACCCAGTGGCATCACCACACAGCACACAGAGGCTTTACACAGATCAGCACACAGATGAACACGCCCAGACAAGTCACAGGATGCATGCATGTGTGTGGGGACATGCACTGGGACCTGAAAAGCTTCTATTCTTCTGCCAACAAGAAAAAAACAAGATTTTTTTCTTCTGCCAAAAAAATCCAGTGTGGATATTCCCCCATCGACCCCAGCCAGCACCAGGGCAAGGACAGGGCTGAGTCACCCAGGGAAAACTGAGTGTTCAACAAAGACTCAGGATGGTCAGAGAAGTGAGGAGAAGTCAAGGACTGAGAAGGAGCTGGAAAACACAGGGACCCACATCTCTGTATTCTTGTCGGGCCAGCTCTGGCTTCAGGGCCCATTCTGAAGCCCCCATCTCCACCTGCAGTTGAGCAACCTGGAGAGAGACACAGAACACTCTTTGAGTCTACCAGAGGGAATTTCTCCCACTCGTTGCTCTGTCCCATTGTTGCCTCCCAAGCCTCTCACATTGCTGCCAGTGTGTGTACGCAGCCCAGTAGCTTCCCTATTTAGCTTGTGCCTGGGGGGCCTTTGGCACTTGCATCCAGTCCCCATCTCGCTTGGTCTAATACTCCATTCCCCGCACAGGCTCCCATACCAGCCAGGATGCCTGACCTGACCTTGTCCTGGGCCATGTTCTGGGTCTCCTCATTCATCCAGGGAAGCTTTCTGAGGTGAGTGATGAGGGCATCCCGGATCGCAGTGAATAATTCCATGGCCTGTGGGAGTGAGGTCCAGGGATAGGGGGACAGGATCAGAAGAGGCTTCAGCCTGGAAAAGACCCTTGGAAAAGACCTTGGCCCCAACGAGCTACCTGGGCTGGAGCTGTTGCTTGAGCAGCAGCTCAACTAAAGCAACTAAAGGATCTGTGGAGAAAGGAAGCAGTGCCAAGCCCACAAAGGGAAGGTGGGGCCTGGGCGTCCATGAGGGCCATCAGGGAGACATAGTTCCTTTCCATGGGATATAGTAGCCTGACGCAGGAGAAAGACAGTGTCCTTACTCCTGGGGGCAGGAACACCTCCCAGCAAGCAGAGGGAGCAGAGGGCTGTCGTTTTCTCCTCTGGCTCAGCGCCATTGTCTTCACACCATCTTTTTTAGTGTCCACTCCCTCTCCTCATCCTCCTGAGCTCTTCAGCTCAGTCCCCCACGTCTCCCCGGCTTCACAACCTGAGTGTGTACTCACTGCTTCCCCAGCCACCTGCCACCTCATGTAAATCCTTTCTTGGAGGGAAATGAAAGGCAATATCAAGAGGCTGGGCTCTGGCATCAGAATGCCTGAGTTCAAACCCTGTCTCTGCTTTTCGGTAACTGTGTGACCTTGGGCAAGTCACTTAACCTCTCTTTGCTTCAGTTCCCTCTTGCATAAAATCAGGATAATAACAGGAACTAAATGACGTAGTTCATGCAAAGTGCTTGAAGGAGTCCCAGGCATGTGGTAGGTACTCAGAAAGTACTCAGTGGTGATTTATTTGACTTATTTGCCCTCTGCAAGATTATGTCATCCGTTCTGACATCATGTCATGTGTTGTTAAAAAAATCTTAGATAACAGGGAGGAGCCTTAGAGATGATAGTGTTCAATTTTCCTTTTTTTAAGTTGTTGTTGTTTTGTCTTTGTTTCTGTTTTTGAGATGAAGTTTCACTCTTGTCACCCAGACTGGAGTGCAATGGCATGATCTCTGCTCACCGCAACCTCCGCCTCCTGGGTTCAAACAATTCTCCTGCCTCAGCCTCCCGAGTAGCTGGGATTACAGGCATGCACCACCACACCCAGCTAATTTTGTATTTTTAGTAGAGATGGAGTTCTCCATGTTGGTCAGGCTGGTCTCAAACTCCTGACCTCAGGTGATCCGCCCACTTCAGCCTCCCAAAGTGCTCAGATTACAGGCATGAGCCACAGCGCCTGGCTCGATTTTCTCATTTGATGGTTGAAGAAACACAAGACCAGGAAAGTTGGGTGATTTGTCCAAGTGAGAGCATGTCATGGAGACTCCGTGGCCTAAAGCTGAACTGTTTCCACCCCAGGGATGGAGAAGGCCTTTGGGTTCCATCTCTCAGTGGCCCTTCTCTCTGACTGGCCGATTCCCCAATCACACATACCACTGAGAAAGTCAAAGTTAACAGAATGAGGGAAGGCTGGGTTGGGTGGGAAGGGGTGGAGGGATGTGGGCTGGGAAGAGCTCTCACATACAGCACTTCGGGTGCTCGGGTCAAAGGCCTCACGAACAAACAAAGCCGCCAGCGTGGGCTCGAAGAACGTGCCTGTGTCCTCCACGCACTTCATCCATCGCGGCCGGGCGGGCTATGGAGACAAAGCTGGAATGAGTGGCTCCTGTTCAGGGCTCTTTCCTCATCTGTCTCCCTAGTCTTCACTAGATCTTCATTCCCAGAGGGTGCTCTTTTGACTGGACTTTCTGGGATTCATCTCAGTTTACTACCCCTTAGGGTGAAGCACATCACCACTTAGCACAAAATAAGCACATCTTCCTCAGAGCTGGTCTTATGAGCCTGGCTGAGCAAATCCTTCATGATATTGCCTATTGAATTTGACAGCAAGGCCTCTAGGAGGCATCATTCTGGGGGACCAAGAGGCTCCTGGGAAGAAGATGAGAACTCAAACCTCATACCTCGGCAATCTGATGTTCCCCCTGTTCCCCCCACCCCACCCAACCACTCTACTCCAGGGTCCCAGCAATGATTCCCATCCTCCATGCTTCTTTGCTCAAAACAGAGATTGCAGATGGAAATTCTGTTCTACCACCATCACCCTTATCCTCTCTCCAGGTGGGCATGGTGTATTATACTGTAGCATCTTATAAAGAAGAAAATTATCAGAGTAGAACTGGTTTTTACAGGCCATATTGTTTGCTAGGAAAAGAGGACACAAGACAAGACTCATTGTATAAATTCATAGAGCTGGAAGACTTCCAGCCAAGTCAGAGACGAGAAAATAGAACAGGAAGGTAGAGGGCTTTCACTGCAGAGGCAGGAGGCCATGGACAAACACCCAAGAGGGCAGTGCCAGCTGAGGACCTCGAGAATGAGAAACATAAGAGACAGACGCTGAGAAGGTCTTGGCGGTGGGCTTGAATGGCTTTGAAAACTTGACCAAGGTGTAAACCCAGAGATGACATAGGGTAAATGGAGACACACACTCAAGGAACCCAGGGGTAGGAGGAGGTAGCTGGCCTGAGGGAAAGCTGAGCTGAAACTGATAAATACCAGCTAATATCCTAATTTGGGTTAGGCAGGATGAAGCCTCAAAACTTTAGTCCTGTGATGTTTTTACTTCCCAAAGACCTGTCCACAGGGAAGGTAGCAAGGGTGCCACTAATACTCTCTCTGCAGGAGCTAGGCTGGTCCTGGGAATGGAGGCAGTTTATGTGCATCCCACTAGAGGAAACAGACCAAAGAGGCCAGTCTGGTAGTCACTGAAGAAGAAACTTCTGAACCCACCAGTTAGAGGTTATCATTTTGGAGGTTGCTGCAGGCCTGGCTGCCCACATCTGTATTCTGTTGCATCTTGAGGTCTGCTAACCTTGTCTATTTTTATTTTTATTTTTATTTTGTAACAGAGTCTCACTCTGTGACCCAGGCTGGAGAACAGTGGTGCAATCTCTGCTCACTGCAATCTTCACCTCCCGGGTTCAAGTGAGTCTTCTGTTCAGTCTCCCAAGTAGCTGGGATTACAGGTGGCTACCACCAGAGATGGAGTTTTGCCATGTTGGCCAGGCTGGTCTCAAACTCCTGGGCTCAAGTGATCCACCTGCCTTGGCCTCCCAAAGTGTTGGGATTACAGGCATGAGCCGCCGCACCTGGCCAACCTTGTCTCTGATAAAGAGAAGAGGCTCAGATTCTTCTCATGCTGCGTGAATTGGAGCTCTGAAACAACAGGAACTAAAAGGAAATCCGGGTCTGAAAGCAATTATAGGGCCAAGTTGAGAATCTGCCAGCCACATTCTGCTGGACAAGCTTGGCTCCAGGAATACCTCTTATCAGACAGTTGCTACACCTGGAGCAGCAACCAGCATCAGCAGAGAGCTCACTTGAGCTTGGAAGTGTGGATCTGCCTACCCTGCTCACCCTTCCTGTTCTTGATTTGTTTCCTGATGCCCTTTGCTGGAGCCTGATCATTTCTCCAACATGCTTTGCCATGGGACCTGACTGCTGGAGAGTACAATCGCCACTGCAGACCACTGCTACAGCTGTCTCTCAAGATGTGGAATGGTAGTGTATACCACACTGACTGCAAAGGGAGAGTTACAGAGAGAGAGAGAAGGAGAGAAATAGAATTAGATTTTAAAAAGTCTCCAAAATATAAACAATAGAAAAAATATTTCAAACCCAAGATAATGAAACTCAGTGGACTAATTTTAGGGCACCAAAAAAAAAAAAAAAAAGTTGCACATATAACCTTAGAACCACAAATAGTATTTGAGAAATGATAGAAATCAGGACAAATTCTACAAGTCCAGAGGGAAGCAAAAATTTGACCAATCTTCTATAGGATGAAAGGAAATTTTAGGGATTACAGGCCAACCAGGAAACTTTAATGTTAATTTCTAAGCAAAATTGTAGAACGAATAGTTAGACAGTTTTTGAACACTTGGAAAATAATGTGTAACTACTAAGGACTATGATAGGATCACTGAAGAAAAATAATGTCAAAATAATAAAAATTCCTCTGGCTAAAAGTCTTGTGTAACTGAGGCATATGAAAGACCAGAACCCGCAAACTCCAATAGGGGCCATGCGGAGGCATAACAGAGAACAGCAGTGCAACATCAGAGCCACAGGGCGTGGTGGGGAGAACAGCAGTAACATCAGAGCCACAGGGCGTGGTGGGGATACAGGAGAGCGCACCCAGCCCCGAGTTGCGCCATGTAGCGACAGTCAGTTGTCGCCACAGGAGAAGGCTAGCCCAGTGTTTCAAGTCATAGATATACACACACACACACACACAGGCTGGAAACCCACGCGAGGCGCACACACACACACACACACACAGGCTGGAATTATGCATAGTGGCTATGCGCGGGGCGCACACACACACACAGCGTGGAAACCTGGCGCAAGGCGCACACACACAGACACACAGGCTGGAACCTGGGCGCGCGCGCGCACACACACACACAGGCTGTGAACTCCAGGCATGGCGCGCGCACACACACACACACACAGGCTGGAAATCCCATGCCAAGGCGCACACACACAAGGCTGGAAAACCATGCACACACACACAGAGGTTGAAACCCAGAGGCACACACACACAGGCTGGAAACCTGAGGCTACAAGGCCGCACACACACACACACACAGGCTGGAAACCTGGTGCGCACGCGCGCACACACACACACACACACACACACAGCGTGGGAAACCTGGCGCCACGCACAAGGCGCGCGCGCGCACACACACACAGGGTGGAAACCTGAATGCTGGCATGCCATATCTTAATTTTTGAATATTGGTGATTAATTCAAAGTTTGCAAAAGATTCTACAGGCTAACAAAACCCATCTATAGACGAAATACATCCTCAAGCACCACGACCATCCTACCACTGAATAGAGTATTAGCACTTACTAAGTTTGAGTTATTAACTTAAACCCCTGTGACTCAGTGACACCAGTTGTCAAAATGAAAACAATATCTAGTCTACCTTCCTCACAGGTTTGGGGATCAGGTGAAATAATACCTTTCAAGTACCCTAAGGCACTACCCCACTCTGTTGGCATTATCTTGATTTAGCCATTCTTGGAAAATACAGATTGAGTCCTAGTGAATTAGAGAAACTGATGTTGAATGACAGTGCAATTAGAGTGGAGTCTCATCTGGCCAAATCATAAGTAAACATCAATGGTGAATGATTTCAAGTTAACTTGACCTCTCCTGACATTCCTACTAAGAATCCTAACTACCACTCACTTAGCATTTCCTTTCCTCATTTCCTGTTTTGCTTTCCTTCATAACACAACCTATTTTATTATTTTATTAGTTTGTTTATTGCCTTTCTTCCTTCACCAGGATATGCAGCTGAAGGCAGGGTTATTTATTTGTCTGTTTTGTTCATTGCTGCATTCCAAGTGCCTGGAGAAGTACCTGAAGTACACTAGGTTCTCAACAAATGTTTGTTACAAAAACGAATGCATAAATCCATAGCTAGGTCTTCAATAACCTGACCGATGCCCTTCTCCCTTCAGGATCTTAACAGTAGTCTGGATGAGGATACACTGAATAAAATTGCAAATGATCCAAAGCTGGAAGACCTGAATAAATTGAGATGTTGGGCTGAATATAAATCATTCACATTTAATCATCACGAATGTGAAGTTCTGCTTTTACTTCTCAAAACCCACCTTCCTAAATTTCACAAAAGAAAACCTGACTTAACAGCCATTTTCATTGACTATAACTCTATTCAAAACTAATCATCCAAAGATGGTCCAATAATGAGATTTAGAAATCTTCTGTATAAGGGCACTATAGAGTATAATTCATTCAAAAGAATATGATCGGAAGTCGGTAATTAATGGCCACTGAATTGAACCAAACATTTTGATCATATCAAGGCCAAACTCTAGGTCATGTCTTTGATTCCATTCTTCCTCTCACATCACTCATCATCAGGACATCCCATTGCTAACCTTAAAATATGTTCTTTTAAAACACAAATGAGATAAATCCCTCTGCATGTCTCTATTTCATACAGAGAGAAGCAAAAGTCTTTCAGTGACCTACCAGACCTTGTATGGTTCTCTCCTTCCTGCTCCGATTCCCTCCCCACTATTGTCCTAGTCACTCTGATCCAGGTGCCCTGGCTTCCTTGCTGATTCTCAAACACCCAGAGCACGCTCCAGGGGCATCAGTGGACACAGCCTGCCATGCAAGCCTAGTCTTCTCCTCTCAGCCAGAGCCACCAGGAGGATCCTTCACTCTGCACCAAGTTTTAGCCAGCCTACCTCCTGCCCTATCCCAATGAGATGTTACCCCTCTCTTCACCAGAAAACTTCTTCCTCTCTCTAAACTTTTTGTCGGTTCCACCTCATGCACAGAGATCTCATTGATCCTTCAAATGCTTCCTGATCTTTCCCTCTCGGGAACTCCAAGAATATCTTCTGTCTAAATCAGGATCCCCGTATCTGCTGTCTAAATCAGGATCCCCTGCGAACATAGCCATACCTATCCATTTACTCAGTGTACAGCTGTTTTTGCACTGCAGGGACAGAGTTGAGCAGTTGTAACACCAACCATTTATGGATCACAAAGTCAGTATTTACTATATTGCCCTTTATAAAAAAGTTTTCTAACCTTTGTTTGTAGCACCTACTTATTTCTCAATCCTGTACAGTGTGTGGTTAAAAACATGACTTTATGAGCCAAAACATCTGTTTTGGAGTCTGTTCATTTACTTGTGAGCTGTGTGGTCTTGGGAAAGTTTCTTGACCTTTCTAAGCCTATTTTGGCATCTGAGAAACAGGGATTATAAACCTCCAAGTGTTTCTGGAAGATTTAAACGAAATAACCTGTCCTAAGTGCTAACAGACAATGACTACTCCATGTATATCAGCTATTATCATTAAGTGTCATCTTTTATACTATTGTCTCAGAAAGGGGAAGTGGCTTCCCCAAGGTCACACAACTATTTGTTGGCAGAGATTAATTCAGCTTTTAAGCCCAAGGACAATTATGTGTCCTAATGGAAAAGATAATGGCTTCAGGACATCTAAGCCTTCTGTATTCTTTAAGCCTGAGCCTCAACATTAGCACTCTTACAACCTTCAAGAAGTGCCATGGGGCTATGGTGCTGGCGTTTATAGGTAGCTGTTTGTTGCCAGGATTTTGTAGCAACCCCAATTAAGATAACTTGGGGCTCTGGTCTGCTTCATCTGAATCCAGAGAAAAGCTGGGCAGAAGCTTCTTGGCGACTCTCCAACCCAACTGATGCTCCTCAGGAAGACTGCTTTTTTAGCACAATGAGCAAACAACACAGACCCTGGAGCCAGACTGCCAGGGTTCAAATCCTCACTCCACTGATTTACTGTCATAACTGAGCAACTTCCTTAACTTTCGTGCCTCTGTTTCCTCATCTTTAAAACAGGAAAAAATGGCACCCATAGTACCTCATGGAATTGTAAAGATTAAATCAGCTAATAGATCTAAAGGCTTTCAAAGAGTGTCTAGCACATCATTAGCTCTTGATAAGCAATAGCTACATTCCAGTCCCAGTGAATGCCTTTTCCTTCTCTGAATTCCACAGCAATTTTAGGTTGCCAAAGCAGAGAGTTTCTCCAAGGCAGGGAAACGGCCCACAAATTACTAAGAAAAAAAAAATCCAGTGATTTTTAAGACTAAACTGAGGCCTTCACTGAGGTTGGGACATATCCAATGTACTAGACTCTTCTGCTTGCTTTTGGATATATCCAACTTGGGATTTCAAGATTCTCAGCAAAGGAGCATCTCTGCGTCTTATGTAATAAGTAGACTCTGGTGAGTGAAGTGCATTTTCTACCCAGGCCCCTCCTCAGCTATATCCACATGTGTGCCACAAAGCCTACATGTGGCCCAATGGATCCCACTGGATATCAGAGATAAACTCTTTGTGAAGCATGTTTGAACATAAAATCAACTAGACATTAAGGAAGGCCACTGCTTAACATCTCTCTCTCTCATCCTAATAAATCATAAGCTCTAAGTCCAAGTTATCCTGAGCAAATAGTATAAGCGTAATGACAAAGAAAGGGCAGTCCTTGACAATTTCAGTTTTATATTTGAGCTCAAACACCCAGCAAGAAGCCAGAGAGGTAGTCAGGCTGGGAGATGTGTGCCTGAAGGTCTGGCACATGGTATCTTGGTTTTCAAGTTAAACTTTGTCTGTCCAACTTGCCTGCTTCTGTGGAAAGCCAAGACATGGAGAGGCATCTACCATCGTGGCCCCTCCCTGAGAGACAGATGCCAACATTTACCCCTCAAAAGAGCAGATACTCCTTTCGAGTATCTGGGCAAATACGCCCACTCCTCTCCTCACCATGGGTGGTTGCTCTGTCAGTTCCCGCAGTTTCTGGCTGAGCTTTCTGCGTGCCTTCTGGAATTGACTGTCTAGGGCTGGAGAAAGGGTCCCCACCAGCCCTAAGATCATGTGGCTCTGCAGAAAGTCCCTATGGAGACAAAAGAGACCCACACATATACCCCAGGAATCTGGGGATGCCTCAAAAAGAGCCTCCCTTTATATAAGTCACCTTGATCCTCCTAAAGGCAGCCCCTTCTCCTCTGTATTAATAACTGTTTTAACATGCACCCAAGTCAAAAAGAGCTTTTCGTGGTGTAGGTTGGGTGGGATCTAGCTCCTTAGCAAAAAAAACTAGATGAAGAAGCAGCCTTCAAAGTCACAGGGAAAGAAAGTTCTGGGCTAGATGGAGTCTGGACTCATGTCATGAAACAGATTCTACTTCCACAGTCAAGGTATCTCAGGTTGTCCTCAGATGTATCTCACAAGCAGAAGTAAGCTGGTCTCTGTGACTCCTCTCTGCTACACTGGCAATGCTCCTGCCAGAACTGCATTGCACCCTTATGTAAGCCTGCTCACTCCCATGTGAACGGGCAGCTACCTCCCTCAAAAAGGATTTCTAGATGCTGCTACCACCATGAAGAAGGCCCTTAGGCCCAAGCCCTTGGAAGAAATCCACTGCTTTCAGGTGGTAGCCACCCAGGGATCAGGGGAGGCAGAGACCCTAACAAAGAGCCACTCTCTCATGTCCCCAACCCCAACACCCCCTTGATTTCCTGATACTAGCAGAAATGCTCTTAGACATTGTTTCCCATAAGAGCTCCAGAATCCTCACACCACACCTGAGGAATGGCCCCTCCTCTTGTTTTCTTCCCCTAAGCACCCCCAGCCTTCACCATCTTCATCTCCTCATCTCATGTGCCTCCTCCTCCAGCCCACAGTCCTCAGCTACTAAAAAGACATACATGCACTCAACTGTCCTCTGTGTCTGGGTCTTCCAGCATCTTCTACAGCTCAGAGGCTCTTGACTGGCTGGTGTTCTACTCTCAGCAGACCCTGTGTCTTGGCTGACCCTCCATTCTTCATGTCGTGTGTATCCTCCCTTACTCGTGCTCCCAAGACACATCCCTCCATCCTCTCTGTGCCACCCACCCCACGCTTCTCTGCCCCCACAGGTAGCAAGTTCCTCTTATCTTCCTGGGAGGCCCTTACCAGCCTGCCTTCCCCAAGGTTTCCTCTGCCCCCAAGATCTATGGTGCACAGGCTCTCCTCCGTTTCCATGATCTACCCAATCCCACCTGGGGCGAACCTCTCCTTTAGCAGCATCTCCTCCACCAGTTGTGACATGTTTTTCAAATATTCCACGTCATGGACCATGAGGGACTGAGAGGGGCTCAGGGACATCGGTGTGAATGTTGCTTGCAAGCAGGACAACCAGTCGATGGCAGGGGCAATTTCCTTAGAGGAGGGACACAAAGCTGAGGGGGAGAAGGAAAAGAGAGGGAAGGGGAAAGGGCTTCCCCTTGGGTGTGAGAAAAAGAAGAAAAGAGGCTAATTGGAGGAGGAGGAGATGGAGCCAGAGACAGAATGAAAAGGAATTAAGGGCACTAGGAGGAAGAAGGAAATGAGGTAATGTTTGGGAGGAAGGTTCCCGTGCCCACAGTCTTCTGGCTCCCAGTTCCAGGCACCTTGAGCTGGTCGATAGTGACCATCTGGAAGAGCTTGCCCTGTTCCCGCCGCTGCTCCAGGGGCCTCAGAAACTGGAACAGCCGTGAAGTCATGGTGAGGGACATGGAAGCGTGTTGTTGCACCTCGTTTGGGTCTCCTCCCAGCAAGGTTCCCAGCTGATTTAAGTAAGTCAGGTATTCCCGAAAGATCTGGAGGAAGGAAATGTCAGTCACAGGTGCCAGAGGTGCCCACCTTTCTCCTGGCCTCAGAGGGCAGGGCCTTTGTCCATGTGCCATCTTACCTGGGCATAGGTCTTCTGTTCCTGATCTTGCTTGAGGGGAACATCAAACTCTGGCTGGTCTATCTGGACACAAGAGAGACTGGAGAGAAGCGGGGAGCATGGCAGATGGAGAGGGCAGGCGTGGGGAGGTGGGGAATATACCATGGGAGATGGCCTTGGGAGATGGACATAAAGATTGGACAGAAGAGAAGCAAGAGTACAAAGAAAGGAAGGGATTAGGGGTTGAGGGGCATGAGAAGAAGAGTCCAGATGTGAGAATGGGAAGAGATGGTGAGTATTACAACCAATGTGGGTGTGCCAAGCAAGGCAGAAGCATAATAATCAGCATCCTAAAAGGAGCTATTCTTTGTCTTAGGAACAAGGCCAGGGTGAGTGAGGTGAGGAACTTGTCCCAGGTACAAAATCTAAGACGCACCAAAAACTCAGTAATCAAACTGCAACCTAACTACGAGTATATTCTTGCAATAGGTAGCTCCATCTCAGCCAGCCATAGCAGCTGATCTTTAGGCAACCATAGGCTGTCAAGTGATCAGACCATGCGCATTAAAGACAATTGCTAAGCTGTAACCAATCAAGTTGTTTCTGGGTGTCACTTCCTCTTTCTGTAAATACTGCCTGCCTACATTGTTGGGTGGAGCTCTCTGAACCTCTACTCCTACAGGATGCTGCCCAATTCACAAATCAGTCTTTGCTCAAATAAACTCTTTTTTTAAAAAAAACTCAGTAATCAAGATTAATACTTAATTAACATTTTAAAAAATCAAAATTACTACCAAAAATGTATGATAAATAAAATCTCAAAACTTTGCTTATCATGGACTTTTTTCCCCCAAAAAACATGCATTTAGTCAATTTTGAAAAGAATCATGTTGTGTTCAAGAAAAGTCCTCAGTGTATTTTTGATTCACTTTGAAAAGAAAAATCATTAGTATTTTCAAAATGATTCACATAGAATTTTGTTCCATTTTGGGGAAAAAAGCATAATCTTTTGTCAAAAAATTCATAATGAAGAAAAGTTTGATATTTTGGTTCATCATATATTAAAATACTATTTATTGTGATACTGAGTTTTGGGGACCTTCTTAAATTAGCCCCCCAGGTAAGCACCATGTATATTTCACCTTAGTCTGGCCCTGATGAATCCTTGATTCTATTCTGAAGATCTTTGCTTCTACCCTTTCCCTTTTCTTCTCCAATTTCAATATCCCACTCTTATCTTGAGCCATATACTTTTCCTTCTGTCTTGAAAAAAACTTTCACTTGACCCTTTTGCTACATTGTATGTCCACAGTTCAAGGAACAAAAAAGCATCTATGCCCACTGTCTCCACTTTCTTACCTTCCTCCTAAGTTCCGTACAGTCTGTGTCCACTGCCATAACTGTTTGGAAAGTATCTCTAGGTATCCAAGGGTGTCTTCTCATTCCTTGTTCACTCCTCCTTCCTGAAGCTCCTTTTCTTTCCTTTGTGGCCCACCACACTGGTCTAGCTCCCATCTCTCCAACTGTACTCACTCTTCCCTGGCTCCCTTCTGCCCTCAGTCTTTGAAGTTCTCCTTCTGTAGTCCATCCTTCCTACCTGCTTTTAACTCAAAAGACTATCTAAGCTCACACTGATGATAACCACCCTCCTCCCATTCACACTAAATCAAAACAATGGGATCATTGTGTAATCCCCCACTTTCTTTCTTTATATCCAATCAATCACCAAATCCTCTAGAAACAGCATGGACTATCATCACTTTGGTGAAGTTGCCTAAATCCTTGTGCCTGGCTCTTCCTTTCCATTTCTACCTCTATCTCAGGGCCTCAAAAAATGCTCGTTTAGTTTCCTTGACACCCCCAGATTGACATTCAAAACTGCTGACTATGCACAACCATCAAAATATTTGCTCTATGCACAATTGTCCTAACAGTTGGATGGCCTCAGCAGCTCTTTTTTTTTTTCTATTATGTCAAATGTTTCACCTCTGCCTGACTTCTTAGAAATAATCAGGCTCAACCTTATGTCTTCAGTCTCACTTGTACCTCCCACTGCACCCCACTCTGCCTCCCAAATCCTCAGTTAATAGACCAGCCTCCTCACTGACCCCATGGAGGAATCACATCATTCCAGGTCCTCCCCCTGGCTCAGGATTTCCAACACCCCATAGCTTCACCTCCACTTGTGTGAATTAACCATGTTTCAAGGCTTGCTTAGCTCACCTTCTCTCATTCTCTCCTCTCTGGGCCTCTTCTTAACCAGATCTTTACTGGCCCCCAAAGGCTACATCAGTTAAACTCCTGAGCACACTGTTTAGAACTAAATTTTAGAACACCTCATAATGATAATCAATTCTTTTGTACTTATCCTCTAATAATTTTGTGGCTCTTTTGACAGTAGGGTCCAAATATGCAGATAGCATTACATTAACCACAATAGTGACAGCTCCAGTGTTTTTATTTAGTTACTCACTCAACATATACCTGGCAAAAGCCTCTAGCTGCCTGGCCCTGTGCTAGGTCCTAAGGAACAAAGGCAAATAAAGCATGGTCCTTTCCTAAGGAGGCTCACAATGTTCAACACAGAGTGATAAATGCTGAGAGCATGAGGAAATGAGAAAAGCGAGAGAAAGGCTTCATCTAACTCATAACCAGGGTGTTGGTGAAGACTTCCTGGAAGAGATAATAAAGCCAACATTTGAAAAACATGTAAGTTTTCCAGGTTCAGTGTGGGGGATGGTTGCAGACACAGGGAGCAGCATAGACAAAGAACTAAGAAATATTCCTGGAAGTAGCAGTGAGTCAGCATGGCTTGGGGGTAAGGGAGAGAAGGAATGTACAGGAGATAAGGCTGGAGAAGTGTGTAGGGGTCAGATCACAAGGTGCTTGCAAAGCTTTACTAAAGATTAGGGACTAGATTCTGATGACCTGGCAAGCCACTGGGTCACTGACAAGCATTTAAATACAGACAGTAGTATAGTTAGCCCTTGGTTTAGAAAAGTTCCCTCTAGTAAAAATAAAGAGTAAATAAAATGAGAGCAATCCTAGAGATAGGAGGACTAGTTAAGGGGCTCTGAGATTAATCCAGATTAACAGTAAGAAAGACCAGGCCTACTTCTGTCTTCCCAGCACTGGCTGTGCTGCTCCATTTCCCACCCCCAGCTAATGTCCCTGACTTTCATATCAATAATTTTCCTTTAAGGTTGGGTTGTTTCCTATATCACACAGGTGTCCTCTCTTCCCAACCTGCAACCTTCCTCTAAGGGATGATTGACTAGAGATGGAGTCAGGCCAGGTCCAACTGTATCTTTGCCAGTGCATCCCTCACCTGGATGACTGGTGTGTGTGGCGAGGCAGGATGAGGTCCCAGGTAGGCTCTGAAGAAAGGGAAATGGCCATACTGACTCATGAGAAGTCTCAGCGTTCGGTTAAAGTTTAAGGAAGTCCAGTTACCAGAGATGCGCCAGCCTCCAAGCTTTAAAGGAGAGAGAAGGGGCTGAGCATAGGATCTGTGGAGCCCATCCCTCATTGTCTTGGTCATCTCTTACACAGCTGCTACTGCCTGACCTCTGCCCTGGGTGCCTTGATTCCTCTAGGGCGCCACATCTGTCCTTTTTTTATCTGCTTTCTCCCAAGGTCCTGATACTTTCACAGGGCATAACTATTTCCATCTCCATCTCCCTCCTAGAACTTCGGGGGCCCTAGGAAGAAGATCCACCCTCTAGGAAAAAAAACGGTAGCCCTAAGCATGCATTGGTCCCACATGTTATGTGTCCGGAAAAGTTAGTATCCCAGCTTTTCTCACCTCCTCAATAACTTGTCTGAGGGGACCAGTCCCTGCAGCTTCAATGGCACGTGTATCCATGCAGGAGCTGTAGAACTGGAAGGCTTTCTCCTCTCCAGAGCCTGGGTGCCAGGAATTCTGGGCCTCTAGGAAGGAAGCATGGGAGTGAGGACTAAACTCTAATTTTATTTTTATCTTGCCCAAATTCCTATCAAAGGGGTCTGGGGAGTCATGCCCTATATCATAAGTTCTCATCAGATGGGTTTTATTTAACCCCATGTAACATGATTTACTTTCTAACCTGATTCTGGCATAACATTACAAGACAAAGAAGAAAATAAAAATATTTTACCCCAAAACATGTTTCTTTGCCATATTTTGAAATGACCCTACAAAGCTGTTCTTTGTGGAGGAAAATTTGCATCTATAAAGAATCTCTATTAGCTATTAACATATCTCTGTTAACATAGCTAGATCTTTTGATTAACTAAGATCTGAACAGGAAATACTTGTCACCTATTGTCTCTAAGGGCAGCCACCATGAGACTTCAAAAGAACTTCGGTCTCCACAATCTTTATCTTACCCTGAACATTTCCTTTCTATCTATCCCAGATCTTTAGACAAACTCAACCGTCAACCCGGAAATGTTTAAATTCACCCATAGCCTGTAAGCCACCCCCGCCCCTTTGAGTTGTTCCACCTTTCTGGACCAAACCAATGTATTTCTTAAATGTATTTGATTGATGTCTCGTGCCTCTCTAAAATGTATAAAACCAAGCTGTGCCCCGGCCACCTTGGGCACATGTTCTCAGGATCTCCTGAGGGCTGTATCACAGGCCATTGTCACTCATATTTGGCTCAAAATAAATCTTTTCAAATATTTTACAGAGTTTGACTCTTTGTGTCGGCAGGAGAATTAAAGGAGTGGCAACTGGTGTAGAGGCAAAGAGGGAAGGTGGGAGACAGGGAGCTTACAGGAAAGAAAGACTCCCACAGAAGATGGAAGGAGGGGGAGGAATAGAGATGAGGAAAATAAGAAGGATGAGAGCACTGCCCAATTTGGGATAGATCTACTTGATGAAATGATGAAAGCAGGGAAAGAGAATGAGGAGAAGAAGACAATATGGAAAATAAAAGAAATGTGGGAAAGAAATCAAGAAGGAAAAGACAGGGACGAAAAGAGAAAGGTAGCAATAAGTGGGATATGGGCAAAGGATAAAAGAGAGAAATGAAAGACAGGAAAGAAAGAAATGACTGAAGAAATTAGACAAATTCAGGGAACTAGAGAACTTTAAGGAATTGGAGAGAAGAAAACTCATAAGGAAAGGTTTAGCAAAGAGAAGAAACAGGAGAGGACTCTCCTAGTCCAGACTTCTCATCCATTGATCCCAGGAAACAAACACACACACTACAATAAATCAAATGCAAGTCTCTCTGAATTATCCACCCTCTAATATCTAACTCTCTTTCCACCCTCAGTCCCCCTGAAATCTATTCATCCCATCGGAGGCAATAGAATGTATCCTGAGCATATTTTTTCTTTTTATCTCTGAGCCTTCCCTGAAAGTATCCATCTACCCAAAGAGAGTCCACCTCCCACTCTTTCCCCATCAAAAAAGGGGGGCAGAGGGGTGCATTATTTTTCCCAGATTCTAATTGATAGTGTCAACACATCCTTTAGGTTCCCTTGCACTGGAAACGCATGCCTATCTTATATGTTCTTATTCCCAAATCCTCATCACCATCCACCAACTTCCTCGGACGCACTTCCAACCTCCTACACAGTTACAGTGCATCCTTCTGGTTTTCCTCTCAGTCCTGGCAGTTTTCCTCTCCAGCCCCCATCTGCAGGAACTTTACTTCCACTGCCAATTAATTCAGCTCTCCTATTCTTCCAACATATCCTTTGTACTTACCCACTTTTTCTCTTATGCACAGTGATGAAGCCCTCTCTCACTTCCCACCCCACCATCCTACCCCTTTCATTCCACCATCATCCATCATCTCCAGTCATCCATCTCTATCATTCCACTTGTTCCAGATCAACTTGCTTGCCATGGTCCAAGGTTTCAAAGGAGAAGCAAGAAGCAAGAGATCATTTTGAGAGAGGGGAGCTTTGGCATGGTGAGAGGGAGAGGATAACGTTGAAAAGGAGGCATTGGGAGACTAGAGGTTTTGGAGGTTAGAGAATGAGAGTGACAGACAAAAGAAATGAAATGCAGGAGGTGCTAAGGAGATGCTTGTGGAGGAAGACACCATGCATAGGATAGAAACTGAACATTTGGAGGAAGCAACAAAGATGGAGCTTGCTAAAAGGGACAAGTTGGAGAGAATGGAGTAATTATGGATACATGGAGAAGCAAAGAAGATGGAAATCAGATAAAGAAAAAAATGCAGAGAGGGACCAAGAGAAATGGAAGAAGGGTACCCAAGGTAAGGCAACAGGAAACAGTGAGAGAGGAGCAAATCCAGGCAGCTCCCGCCATCCTACCTCTTTTACTCCCCCATCATCTCCAATCATCCATCCATATAATCCCACCTGGGTTGGCACAAACCAGTTGTTCCACAACTACATAGGGTTTGGAGTAGTCATGGTCATTCTAGGCACCTACTTGCACAGAGCATCTTCTACCCTGCTTTCCTCACCCAGTATTCTCCGAAGTCGGTTTTTGTTCTTTGTGGCAAGCTCCTGAAAAGAATTATAGGTCCCTTTGACCCTTCCACAGGCAAAGCCAAAGAAGTCGGTGCAGGGGGCCACACTTGTGTTCCCAGAGGCCAGGTAATGATCCCGGAGATCCAAACACACAGATGTCTCACAGGGGCCTGTGGGGAAAAGCTCAGAGCTGGGAAAGAAGAGGCAAAAAGACCAGGGCTCTCCCAAGGGGCTAGGCAAAGAACATCAGGTGAGTAACTAAGCGGGGAGTTGATGAAAAAGAAATGGTTAGGATGCAGGGAGGAAGAACCATGGGGACCCCAAGGGTCAGGGAGCACAGAAGCCCCAGGAGCAGGGACTGGGCCCAGGTGCCAGGGCTGGGCGAGGGCTGACTGGGTTAGGGTGTCTGGGATCTTGCTTACGAGGCCCACAGTTCTGGAAGATGTAGAACAAAAGCACAGAAAAACAAAGGAGCAGGCCCAAAACCTGGATAGCTGTCAGCACCCGCCTGGCCACTGCCCATGGCCTGCTCCCTTCCGCGGGCAGCCTCTCCTCTGGAGTGCTCTGTGGGAGGAACCAAGAGGTGAAAGATAAAAGGTGGAGGGGATTGAGAGACAGGGATGGGAAGAGGAGGAGGAGAGGGGAGAGAGAATGCATCTGTTAGTGTTATAGTCACTTTATACAGAAATAATTATCCCAACTCTTCCTAAACCCAGTCCTACTTTAACTCCTGGAAGATGAGAAAACAAGGAATGTCAACTGTTTTGGGTGAGGATGAAGCAGACAGTCAGGGGATGAATGTTTGTGGGATTTTAGAGCCCAGAGTGACAACATCAGTGTATTCCAGCCCTAGGAGAGGAGGCCACTTACCTCTTGGCTCCAGAGAGTCCCCATTCCACCTGCTTGGCTGGGTTCCCTCGGCTCTTCCTCACTTTGGTCCCCACCTTCCTGAAGTGAGTGGAGGGAGAAGGAGGAGAGAGAAGCTGGTGCAGGAAATGGTGCATTGAAGAGAGTTTTCTCAGGCCATTTTGTTACCCTCGCTGCCCGCCCTGCCCCCCAACACATATTTTTATCTCAGGGCAGTCTTCCCAGATGGGCTTCAGAATGAACCTGTCCCCTGAATGTGCCATTTCTCACTCCCTCTCCCATTACCTCCCTCTCTCTCCCCCTTTCTACTCTGTAAGCCTCAGGTTCCCTCCCCTCCAGTGGGGGCAGGACATTTGCACACAGTCACCCTCACACCCCACCCAAGGCCTCTGACTCCAAAAGGGAACTTACTGTCTGTCTATCCTCTGTGGCTCCAGAATCCTTCCTGGTTCCACTCTAGGTGCTGATTTGGAGGACTGGGGTCCAGGAAACAGTCCCCCTTCTGCCCCCACCCCAGTTCCTTGATCTTGGAGAAGGGACACTTCTGCTGCTCTTTCCCCTTGTCCCCAGGCACACAGGACTGGCCTCTGGGTGGAGCCTGCTTATCAGTGGGGGGCACCCAGGTTTCTCCTCCCCCTTTATCTCAGCTTCTCAGGGGAGAAGAGGGAGGGAGTCCTCACTCCCCCAGCAATCTTGCCCTTGGTCTGCTCCTTGTCTCGCACTGTGACTCTGCCCATGAAGTTCCTTTATTTCTAAAATATTCTTCCTTCTCTCTTTTCTTCTCTATTAAAAAATATGAGGCACAGTAAAATTTTAAAGAGTTTATTTAAGTAAGAAGCAATTCATAAATTGGGGAGCACCAGACCGACAAAAGTTTAGTGTTGCGATGACAAAGTGTCAGAGGCAAGCATTTACTGGGAAGTTACAGAAGCAGAATAAAACATTATTTGACTGGTTTGCAGTTACATAATTGCCTTTTTAAAGTAACTTTTTGGAAAGTCCCTAGTCACATAATCATATGTTAGTTGACTACTTATCATCGGCTGGGGTTAAATTGTTATTTCTGTCATAAGCATTTATCGGAAATTGACCCAAGTTAAGTTTCACTTATGTTTGTAGTTTTAGCAAGAACATGGCTATTTTTAAGGTCTTTGGCTTTGTCTGCCTGGGAATTTTTCAGGCCCAGTCTCCATTTTAGTTTTGTTTTCACACCTCTCTGATTGGCTTTTCTGGGATTCATCAATTCCCAGGTCAAATGCCACCTTTCCCAGGAGACCTCCCAGCTCCATGCCCGTTCACACTGTTCCCAAGCAGGCTTAATTGTTTCTTTCGGTGTTTCATAGCTCTGCTGGCTGCTGGCCGAGTCATGCATTCAAAAGATCACCCAGCTAAGAGACCCTAATCTGCTAATTATTAGCTCTGTGACAATAAGCAAGCCACTTAAACTCTGAGGCAGGTAAGCAAGTTTTGTCATCTGGAAAATGAAGATAATACTTGCCCATGCCTACCTCATAGGATCCCATGCCTTCAACAAAAGAACAAGGCTTTACTGAGTCCCTCTCTCTTTCATTCTGCTTTCTGTTACACTGGTAGCTTGCCTCTTCATCTCCTTATTGATTGAAAACTATGTCATGGCAGGTACAGTGTCTGGTTTTCATTCCTGCCCATCCAAGATGCTTTCTAAATATTCAAAGAAATGAATTACATTCCAAGTTAGAAATCCTCTTTCTCACATCATATTAAGCCCTTACCTATGGTCTCAGTGAGGCAAGCGTATTTTTTGGGGAAAGTGTTTCACCCTCTGTCCCTTGTTTCCCGATCCCAGGGAAAAAAAAATGTAATTTATTAGGATAGTCTTGCAAATGATTCCCTGGCGATATTTTCAGATTCCATCAGCACTGCGCCAGGGCCATGGTGCACTCACTGGGATGAGGGTGGGTGTGGAGAAGTGGAGTAAAGCCATTGTGCCCCCTGGAGCCAGCTGGTGGGGAACCATGAAAGTCATAACGAAAAGTCAGAACTTCATACATTAGAAAAGAAAGCATTGGGGAAAATAAGGCTTTTGAGGAAAGGTGTAGCAAGACATAATAATATCTAAGAAACGCTGGTGTGGTACTGGGAATCTGGACGGATTGGATAAAGACAAGAAACAGAGTGGTTAGTTTGGTATTGCAGGAGTGATGAAGGCAGAGGGATGGCAGAGGGGAGGGAAGTGCATAGAAAGAAAAACTGTATGGAATAAAGTCATGGTAATGGGTTGAATGGAGGAGGGGTTTATAATAGAGCCACAGAGGAGCTCCAAGTTGCATTTCTGCATGACTAGGGGAATAGTGATGCCAGCGAACAATGGAATTTTCGTTAGGGCGGGGAGTAGGAATCAGCATGAGGGGAAGATGCTGACTCAGGATTCTAGAGGTGTTGCGTCTGTGTGGGTACATCCTGATGGTGCCTCGTCTTCAAACTTCCCTTCCACAGAAAGTCCAATACTCTCCCCATGGGCTTTTAGCTTCCTTCACACATATTCCCTTCCTCACTCTTTTTCTGTCAATCAAATCCCCTGAGCTGATGTTTCCCTGGGAAAATGATAATGGAGACCACTTAGATTAGATAAGAAAAAGTTGAAGAAAGAGTGTGCTCTGTGACATTCCCCTATGGACAGCCACCACAGCGTAGACTTAGGTTCTCTCCCTGTCAGAGAAGCTGAGCCATCCACAGGGATAGGGCAGCACAGCTGCCGGGTCCACCGTTCCTACTCAGCTGCCTCCTGAAAGCCAAGCAACCTCCGTCCTGGGAGCTGTCTCAGGAGCATGACTTCCTCTTATTACCCATATCCTACTCCATGGTGAGTTATCACCAGCACAGCCTTACCCAGTCATGGCCGTGCAGCAGCCTTCACTCAGATCTAAACACAGAGAAGAGGTGTGTTAACAGCTGTGGCACACGGACCACTTTGCAGATGCTGCCTCCTGCTTGCCTTAATTGTCCTGTCCATTTATTCTAATTCCAGGAGCTTTTGTTTGATGTCATAATAGTATCAAAATAAAATATTGGTAATAATAAAAATAACCACTTTTTATGGAGCACCTCCTTTGTGCTAGGAATGTGCTAAATGTTTTGCTTGTATGTTTTCCTTCAGTCTTCACAGCAACTTTGTGAGGGAGATAGCAGCTATTATTTTCCCCATTTTATAGATGAGCAGTCAGAGCGATATGAAAGTACAGTGAACTTACTCAAAGTTACAAAATTAATAATTATCAGAACCGAGAATTGAACCAAAACCTTAACCATTGAGCCTCTCAGTCACTAAGTTTCTGTTTTTTGGAAGTGTCTTCATAGTAAACATCTTCCTTCATCTAAACTCTTCTTTTTAAAGAGTTTATTTATTTTTCTTATCTTCTTTATTTTTCACTGCTTGGCCTTGTGAGGCGACAGTTTTGGGGACTGGTATTCTCAGACTCGCCAACATTCAGTTTCATCATCTGAAGATCACGGCCTTTGCCACAATATTCTATCCATAATCAGCTGCCATCCACAGTGGATATGGTATCAAAATCAAGGACAGGACATTAATATATCTATTGTGACACTCTCAAGTGTGCACATGAGTGGCAATTTGCTTCTAAGATCACTTGATTGCAGTGATAGCAACTAAGAAGTTACCCCCTAAAGAACAATAAACCCAGTTCTGAGTGAACCGAAGTAAGCCTTGATGTCACAAGCAATGTTATGGACTTTGCCCAAAAGATGATGGAGAAAGAGACCATGGGGTGGGTCTTTGGGGTGTTCTGATTGCTCTTTCAAAGGAAGCAACACTTGAGAATTGGGGAGCTCCTTTGGGGAAGAGTAACTTCTAAGTTCAGTATACCACAAATTGGCTTTTGAAATAATTTAAGTGATAAGTAGATGGACCTCTTTCAATAGGTGTGTGTATATATATATAGACTGAGTCTTGCCCTGTCACCATGCTGGAGTGCAGTGCCGTGATCTTGGCTCACTGAACCTCTGCCTCCTGGGTTCAAGCGATTCTCCTGCCTCAGCCTCCCGAGTAGCTGGGACTACAGGCCCATGCCACTATGTCCAGCTAATTTTTGTATTTTTAGTAGAGACGGGGTTTCACCATGTTGGCTAGGATGATCTCAATCTCTTGACCTTCTGATACACCCACCTCAGCCTCCCAAAGTGCTGGGATTACAGGCGTGAGTCACCGCACCCGGCCCAATATTCTAATTTTTATATACATTTTTTCTTTTATAGATATATGACTCTAAGAAGACTAAAATACATAGCCTCTGTTTAATTGTTAAATCAACTAAAATATATTAAACAGCTAATAGCTGTATTGGTACTCGAGTATGTCAAAAACGAAGAAAATGCTCAGAAGACTGGAGTTTTACTTATATACGGGTAGAAACAGCTCAAAAGGAGAATCTTTGTCCTTTTTTCTTTTCTTTTTGGTATTTTCTACATGCCACCACATTTTTCTTCCCAATCTAACAGGTGTTGAAGGTAGTACTCTGAACACAGACTCTAGTAAGTTGTGTCAATTCAACGTATGTTTCCTCAAGAAAATTTACATAAGCTCTTGCTAAAACCAAGGTCTTAGTCAACTACTACCATAATAATGCTTTGTTACAAACCACCCAAAACTCAATGGTTAGAGGAACAAGCATTTATTCTTATGTTTCAATGTCTCACTTGGAACAATGAGAAACAAAAGGGTGGGACAAGGTGTGTGGTCTCCCTCTTAGCAAACGTACCAGTTACTTATACTCCATAATAAACAACCCCTTATTCGGTGCCTTAAAAAAAATTATTGGCTCTCTATTCTATGGATTGGCAAATTAGGAACAGCTGAAGTATCCTCTGAACTCATTTGCGTGTTTGGTTTCACATAGCAGGCCAGTTCAGGGCTACCTAGTCCAGGATGGTCTCACTCACATGGTTCTTGGTTGGTTGTGGCTGTTGGCCAAGGTGCCTCAGAGCTCTTCCCAGGGGGCCCCTCTAGCAGGTTAGCTTGGGCTAGTTCCCGTGGCAACTAGATTCTAAGAGAGCAAGAGTAAATGCTGTGAGGCTCTGGAGACCTAGGCTTGGAAGTTATACAATATCACTTCTGTCATATTCTGTTTGTCAATGCAAGTCCCAAGGCTGGCTGAGATTAAAATAAACTCCACCACTTGAGGGAAGGATTTGCAAATAATTTGCAGTCATGTTTAATATGCCACAGGAGGAAGGCAGTTTTCCTGTGAAGCAACCTATCATGAAGAGATCACTGGACTAGGAGTTGGAAAACCCGATTTTCAGTCCCTACATCAGTTTTAAAGTAGCTGGGAATTTTTACCTAATTTTTTTCACCTCCATAAAATCTAGCACTGAAAACCTATGTTTCTAGGTTTCAAGTTTGGTCTCTATTTCTTTTGAGGGGGCTTTAAGGACCCAAATCTTCTAAAGTCTCTTAAGTTTAAGGTCAAAGCATTAGATCAATGTATGGTAACTGATTCTCTCCCCCTTAAAGATTACCATAGATGAAAGAAGGAACTATCTAAACCTACTAACCTAGTCATGAAAGTGCTGGCCAAGGAGATGTCATATAGCAGTTACTGGGACTCTCCCTTAGGAGATACTTGGTATTTTTCCATTGCCATGGCATGATTTGTTGTTGCTGTTGTTTTGTTTGTCTTTTCTTCTATTCTGCTGCCTAGAAGGAAGATGTTTCCTTCTAGGAAGATAAGGATGACAGGAATGAGGTTCACACTTGAGGGAACTATTGAGCTCTTGAGCTAAAAGGAACCCAGCATCTGGGTGCTGTGAACGTCGTGGAGAAAAGTGGCCATATCGGCTCTAGACTGCATCTCTGCAAACTTTTATATGTGAGAAAATTACTGTTTTCTTTAGGCTACTGTAGTTTCTTTCTATTACTGAAGACTAACTTTAATCCTACTAATAGATAAATATTAATACCTAAGATAATTGAGGTTTGACGATGTCTACCTACTCAGTGTTTTTAGACACAGATGACCATGTTGTGAACTGCACAACTTTAAGGATTGACAATTACATGAACTAAAATGTGAATGATTTTCTACAGGGTTGAGCCACATGACAACCTTGTACCTAACAACTAGTATGATGTGGAAAGAGGAAGTTGATCTCATACTAATGTGTTGTTCCTATACTTCTTGTTGGTTCACTCAGAGACTTCAGTATTCTTGCTCAAGTTGTTCGACTTGTGTTTTTTCTTTTTTTTCTTTTTTTTTTTTTTTTTATATACATAGGGTCTTGTTCTGTCACCCAGGCTGGAGTGCAGTGTTGCAATGTTGACTCACTGCAGCCTCAACCTCCCAGCTGTACAAGTTTGAATTGTACACCTTTTTTGGAGATGGGGTCTCACTCTGTCACTCAGGCTGCAGTGCAATGGCATGATCACAGCTCACTGCATCCTCTCCTGGGCTCAAGCAATCCTTCAACTTCAGCCCCACCAAGCAGCTGAGACTACAGGTACACACCACCATACCTGGCTAAATTTTTGTTTACTTTGTAGAGACGAGGTCTCACTATGTTGCCCAGGCTGATCTTGAACTCCCGGGCTCAAGTGATCCACCTACCTCGGCTTCCCAAAGTGCTGAGATTACAGGTATAAGCCCCTGCACCTGGCCACTTTTAGAAGTCTATAACAGTTGGAATCCTCCCAAGAAAACAGAAACAGCTCTAGGTATTTCAGAGAAAACTTAATACATCTAACTAGATATGTAGGTAATAGAAAAATTGAGAAGTTAAATGGGTGGGGGAGGGAAAATGAGGCAGTCCTAAAATTATCAACAGAAGAAAACTACTACAAATCTTTAGTTTAGAGGAACAAAGAGGAGAAGGGGTGTTACCAGAGCCCAGGAGCTGTACCACCTACAGAAGATGGACCATTCTGGACCTTCTCAGTAAGCTGGGATCTTCGAAGAAAGAACTATTTGGTGGGAGATGGAGCCACTGTGGACATATGCCTGCCCGTAGAGGTGTCCCCTGAAGCAGAGAGAGAAAAGGAGAAACATCCTGGTTTCATCTCTACTTCCTCCCTCTTCCTCTTGGCTGAATCTTTGCAGAAGTCAGAAAGAAAAGAGCCTTGGGAAACATAGTTCCTCGTGATACAGAGCAGAACAGAGGAAGCCAGGAAACTGACCTGCAAACAGGCAAGTGACTGGCACAGAGTATTTGTAGGAGTATTTGATTCATGCATAAAGGCACTGGGAACACGCAGTACTGCTTCATAGCCCAAGTTACCATGGGTGGCTCAAAGCTGAGCAGAAAATGCTTCTTTTATGCAGAACTCCTCAGTATCTTGAAAATTAGATGTTTTTATTATCTGGAAACAGCATCCTTGAAATAGATGTTGCTATTCTTATGATAGTCTGCAACAGCAGTAATAAAGGTAAGCCTCCTTCAAATACCTCTGCAGATAACAAACATTAACTCAGAGAAATAAGAGAAAAAGAAAAAAACACAGTAGATGCTGCATAGTAACCACAGCTGAAGGTTTAGGGCTAAGCATAGTGGGGTATCTAATCCCAGCTTGGATCTTAGCTATTGTGTGTTCAGAAAGCTGACTGTATGATTTAATTCCTGTGAAAACCTAACCCTCAGGGAATTCCAAAAACACTTGAAGTGAACTTTTTGAGAGAGGCAAGAACAGGATATTTGGGTTGCTGATGTTCATATGACATCATGTATATCCCCAGATGAATGGATCAGGCATCATTTGAATTCTATGAGTATTTACTTCCAGAGTGTAATCTGTATTAATAAGCAAGCATGGTCTATGGTTTTCCTTTTAAAAATGTCATTTTTATAGCCTGGGCAACATCTCTATGAAAAATTTAAAAAGTTAGTCCTAGTTACTCAGAAGGCTGAGGCTGAGGTGGGAGGATGACTTGAGCACAAGAGTTCAAGGCTGCAGTGAGCTATGAAGGCGGTGACTTTGTGACTTGCAGAATGAGATGACTTCCCCTGGGTTTTCATTTAGCCTCATATATCCCAGTCATGGAGCTGAAGAATTCAGAAACTCAGAAATGAAATAGATGTAGACAATAAGAGTCCCAAGGGAAGCCTGCTCTCGCCAGCGAAATAAGCAGGAAAAGGGCAGCCTACCAAGACAGAAAACGTAATAGTCACTCTACTCAAGCCAATTACCACAGAAAAAATGGTGGCTCCTCTCCCATCCATGCCAGCAAAGGCTGACGGGAAAGCCTAGATTTCTACCTTTGAAAGGCACAGTGAGTCATGCAAACAACCTCCCACCACACACACACACACACACACACACACACACACACACGCACGTGGTATCAGAGAAGACCAACTAAGGAGCCAGAAATTTCATCCTCACTGGACAATAAAGAGGCCCCCATCCCCTCCTGTCAGAGGTGCTGGTGGAGGGAGAGTCACAACTTTCACCATCAGTCAGTAGTAAGAAGAGCAAACCACCCCCCAGCCATAGTGTCATTGGAGGCCATGTGGGGAGTCACTCCTATCCCTCCAGACAGAAAGTCCTACCCCTTCACACAGAAAGGTATCAATAGACACTAAATGAGGGCTTGAAATCCTAACCTTGCCCAACAATAATGAAGAGTCCTAAACTGGGTTGTCAACAGAGGTCAATTGAGGAACCCCAAATTTCTACTCTCACCAAAAGGGTGCTCCCTACTGCCACCATTCTGCTGGAGAAGTGCCTGAAAAGGCCAAGTAAAACAGAAGGTTTAAATAAGATCTAGGTCCTCATAACATAGTACAAAGATGCCCAGGTTTCCATGAAAATCACTCATTATACCAAAGACCCTAGAGATCTGAAACTGAAAGAAAAAGAAAAAGAGAATCAAAAGATATTAGCATAGAGGCCGGGCGCAGTGGCTCACACCTGTAATCCCAGCACTTTGGGACGCCCAGGCAGGTGAATCAGCTGAGG